CTGCATACCGCGCCCAGCAAAAGAGACAATTTTGAAATTGTCTCATTTATTTATTTTTATACTAAATTTGGATAGACCCGGCGGCCGGCAGCGCGACCGCCCGCTGATCCGCGTCCACAACTACTCTATTCTAAGAATACTATTACAAAAAAAATATACTTTTACATTAAAATTGGTTAAAACATTTGTATACACATAAAATAAAACCAAATTTTTTGTCCGTATTATAAGTGGGTAGACATTGTCTCTTTGTCTCCTATGACGCTTCGCCACTGTTAAGATCCACCAGAAACAATATGTGGCCGCCAATGCCCTCCACTCTCCTCACTGACGATCTTCATTATAATACAGATGAACATCAAACACCATACCGATGCACGTTTGGTTTGATAATTGCCAAAAATCAACAATGGTGCTGTTTGAGGCAATGTTAAATGAAAATATAGGTTATTTTTTTTAAGAACGCCATAAACATATATTATTCTCCTACACAGCTGTTGTTTTTGTATTTCAATATTTGTTGTTTTAACATTGGCATTTTTGCCAAAGTAAAACATGTGAAAATGGTACAAATTTAAAAACGAAAAATAGTATCTCTAGAATCGAGAACAATTTAACTGTGTACAACTTTTGATAAGTATTATAATATTATTAACACCAATTTACTATTGACATAGTGTTGAAAAAAATTACAGTAATGAAAACTACAGCAATGAAATCGATTAGTTTAAGTATTGTGTTTGTTTTAGTCAATTCGAATGTTATGCCATTAATTATGGAAAATAACGAACTAGATAAATATATTCAGGTAAATGACACATACGTACTTCTGATAGTTTGTATATACTACTATTTAATACACTCGTGTTAATTTATTTAAAAAATTATACAATTACATAACGTTAATTTTTTAAGATTTTTTACAGTAATAGAAAAAAGTTAGCATTAAGAGTAAATGTAGAGATAGTAACCTATTTTTATTAATGGGTTGATCGTTAAGTACGGAGTTAAATTTAAATAGGTCAGTGTTTCTATGTTTCTGAAATTAGTATAATTCAATACTATACTTCTTCTTATACATTATTTAACTCATGTAATAATATAATCAATTTTAAAATAATCAAATCATTTAAATTCGATGTTGATTTTAAATAATTACATTATAGAGAATTATATAATAGATTTACCAATAAAAAAATTGTAAAACATTGTAGATAAGCAATCGATGCTTAAAACTATATTTGACGTAGGTAAGCATTAAATTACATTTAAATCACTTCATAGCAATAAAATCATTCGGTTGAATACTTTTATTATTAACTGTAAATAATACAAATTTAAAGAATGTTGTACTTTAACAAATCCAAAACATTTGTTTTTTTTATTTAAGGGTGTCGACAATGTCGATAACTTATGGTATTCAAAACCCGCCCACGATGCGGTATTTGACAAGTCATTTGTATGTTCATTAAATAATTTTATAACGTTGGAAAAAGATAAAGTGGTGTTTTCCAATGAAGACGAAGATCTACTAACTAAAGAGTGTAATATAGAAGATGAATCTTGTTCGGTAAACAAAGCAAAATCTATAAAGAAAATCAATACTAAACTACAGGCGATTAAATGTGTCAACAGTGTGATTGTGGAAAGCCTATTTGTTATTTTTAATTTTATTTTGCTCATGAAGTTAGAAACCAAGGATCTTAATAAGGCCTTTTTAAAATATCAGAAGCTTGTGGCTCGTATGTTGTCTGTGATGTATGCCGGCAAAAGTTACGTTCCTCAATGGAATTTAACTATTTACATTAGGCTATTGGGATATATTGATATTATCAAAAATAATGGTGCAATTTTTCCCGACAACTCAAATCTCAAAGAGGACGTTAAAAATTATAGATGTAAGTGCCAACAATTTGATTACGTACCGTCCGACAAAAACGAACCTAATGCCCTCATCGAGTCGTTGTACAACAATAATGAACTGACAGAGTTGTACCAGCACGCTGAACGATTTAAATTGATAAATTTGACCCTGAGTCCACTATATTTGTACGACCATTGCTTGTTTATGAAATCCAATTGGAATAAAATAAACTGGAGGGAAACTCGTGAACTCTTAAAGGACGCTAAAACCAGTATATATAAACTGTATTTTGGGGGCAAATTGCCAAGACAATGGATGCTGATACCGCTAAGTCGTTTGGCCTACCACGAGGCTATCCTTAAAATCGTCTATGTCAGAATTTTACACTGCACTTGGTTGCATTTGATCACGTACCAGTACAACGTACTTTGCGGTGCAATGGAAGACAGCCTAACGAATTATTGGAATCTTCTTTTGGATCCATTGCACGAAGCCGTGTGGTTTGCAGCCATTGACGACAGTTTTTTTTCGTCATTGTTGCACACACTAAAGAGCACTGTCAAAACCAAAATCAGTGACAAACGTTTGTCCGAGTTGGTGAGGTCTAGCAGGAAACTACTCAAAGAATACTTGACATTACTTAAGGTAGACGACGTCGAAAATCGATTAAACAATGTGACTCTATTAGGTCTAGACCGAGAAGATGTAAAGCCGAATGATATAAGGGGCAACACTGAAGACCTGTCGTATTTCATTGATGCCCTGAAGGAAGTATTCCGTGGAATTGATACTGATAGTATCTTTTTAATTAAATTCTTGGTCCGAGCCAAAACCGATATTTCATTTTTCACTCCAAATTTTGTGTATCCGTGTTTTTCTGTGTGCCGTAATTAATGTTAAATATTAGCTTGTTAAATACACCTGGACGCATGATTTATACATTATTAAATATGAAATTAAAAATTGATGATCAGACTGAATCAACCAGTTCCGTTTTAAGTCAATTATTTAACTATTGAAAATAGATTACATGTAATACGATCACAATTATCATTGTTAATATAATGTCTTTATATTAAACTTCTAAACTTTAATTTTAAACAATATCATTTTAATTAAATAGTTTGAGTTTTGTATGTTATTTCATCATTGTGTGTGACATCATTATATTACCTATAATATTAAATATAAAGTAACTTATGGAAATCTAATTTTCATTTATCAAATACTAAAACTTGATCGTTAACGTTTACCTTTTATATTTTATTTGCAAATGCATTTATCATTATGTAACTTAACAGGCTATGAAGGTCTAACGCTGTCATCATGAAATGGTTTCTTGATGAATTCGCTATCCGACATAAATATGAGATAAGTAATTATTTAAGCAGTATATTTTTTACACATTATGTTATTTCATAGCATAATAATAAGTGGATGTCATGTGGGGGAGGTACGGTCTTATATAAATCAGCACAGCAAGAGAGTATTAAAGTGAGCTGCAGTGTCTATAGACTCGCATCGAAGCGTTTATTTTAAAGTAATATTATTACATTCAGTTATGGTAATTCTTGAAGACCTGTGAAATCACCGTCTCCACTATGCCCTAAACCCGCAGTACTGGATTTTTTATATTCTATGTGTGAACCATAAAAACACATTTTGTTTTATTTTCATATTAGCTTATCGCCTAGTTAAAAAGGTGTATACGTTTAAAAGTAAAATAAATACACAATTGTTTTTTGTTGGTTATTTTTTTTTTATGACATGTACGCCAAAGGTGTTCAACATATTGTTTACGAATTCTGAAGAACTTATTATTGTAATTGGGTCACAGCAGATATTCTTTTAGTATTTATTTTCAGACTTTAGCCATGTAGGTACTACACATAAAAAAGCGAAATATATGAAATAAATAACTATTTCTAGGAGTTTTAACAAATAATAGTAACAGTAATCCCCAATAAAAACCTAGCATTAAAAAAACCATTTACACTAGATTTACTAGAAAAAGTTTGATTATTAGGAGTAGTTAATATTGGTGTAGATCATAAACTCTGGAAAAACAACAATTCTTTTTTTCAACCATAATAGAACGCATAATACAACTATACTGGGTTTTGAACTTTAGCTTAAGTACAAATTGTTTGCAAATAACATATAAACATTTATAAATAATAAAACCGATGACTGAACACGTGACGATTATCAGACATAGTATGTCTAGAAGGTAGTATTCGTACCACGTGAGATTAAACGCTTTTGTCTTGAGATGTTGTGCACCATTATATCGTACAGTGTACACTGACCAGTAAGCGGCTGTTTTAGCAGGTGACATTGGGCGGTCTTTGAAACGCTTGGAAGTTAGTTTAGCGTTAGATGAGTACCTCATTGTAAGTTACAAAAGAACAAATTAAAAAAAAGAGTAATCATTTTCAATATGGCTAAAAACAAATTTCTTATTCGAAAAATATTTAAAGAGTAGGACGGGAGGTGAAGTGCGGTTGTGTAACGCGCGCAGGATGAAATAATTATACACTTCTTCCTCCCATCCTAAATTTTAAACTTAATTAACTAATTAAGTAATTATCCAAAACTGGTTATCGACCAGTCAGTTTGCTCAGTAATTTATTCATCATTTTACTAGCTAATTGAACATTATATACATTGCCATTTAAGTTTTATAAGTCGATAGAGCTCTAGCAAATACTAAAAAATTTAAATATTGTCTCATATTATAGTAATATAGTATAATCAAAAATATTTTCAAAAAGAAACACTAACAATTTGCAATGATTGTAAATACTTGATTACCTAAATTACCGAAATCGATGCGAAATTATTTTCTACTGCGTTTTAGTATTATATTTGTTTCACGAGTTTCGCTTGGCAATCGTTGACGGTTGCATTAAAAATCATAATTTTAATCAGTTTAAAGTTGTGCGGGCAAAGCAAACAAACAAATATTTAACGAGGGATTATTCGGGAAATGTGTTAATCCTGTGGCGAGCTCTGTTTGAAGTTCAAGGCGGGAAAATGCGAGCGCTCGTGGGCGACAAGTCGGGTGGTGGCCGTTCGGTAGGCCAAAATCAATACCACCGTTACCTACTTCGCAGAGCCTAGTACGCATACCGCATTCACATTGCACCGCCGTTCAAAGCTTTTATACCATTACTACTACTACTACTATCACTGCCAATTTCGGTTTTTGCTGATAACGTTTGCGCTTATCACGCTTTTGACTGTTCCGAACACATTCAACAGAGACACATGTACAATGCCGATGAAATTCTATTCCGCTTACAATGTCCGGTCGTCGATTAACAGGTAAGTTTTCTTGAACAACTGTATTGTAGATAGAAATTATTTACACGTCTTGCCGGCACTAGCAGTTGAAATCGTTCAGACGTACAATTGCAGTCTTGCAGTTGTGAGACGTAGTTCTAGAGGTGTGAGTGTACGAAAATGAAGACTCGGTAATTTTCAATAATTATAACATAATGGTGTTATAGATAACGACACAGTGGGATAATTGTTAATAAATGGGAAAAAATTGTATTACAATTTTGGTCTTACAATAATGGCGAAAATTAAATAATAGTTAACTATTTTCTTTATTTTAATTAAAATTTTATTTCTACATGTCAATGTATCACACAGTAAATTTAATCGCAATAATTTGTGAAAATAAAGCTACAAATTACCTACAATTCACCTAGCAATAATTAACCCATTTAACCTTATTATTGTAATTTGAAGGAAAAAAACTTGAGGCATATTTTGTTATGAAAAGAGTTTATTTAAAGCTATAAATATAACCAAAATTATTGTTTCTAACTAATAGTTATTAGTTTTGAAATTTAAATTATTTACTTAAATATTTAAGTTAAGTGTATAGAATTTTTTTTATATTACTGTTTAATATCAATTTGCGTGTAATACTTCACTCATTGCAGTTTTGCAGTGAAGTAAAATTTAAGAATCATACAAAATAAGTGAGAAAAAAATGTTAATTGTTTGGGAAAATATTAGAAAATAGTAATATGAATAAAACAATTCCAATTTTTTTTTATAAAAATAAAGTATGACCACAGTTTAAATAAACATAACTTCCTAGATAATCCAAAAACATACCATGTACCAAATGTTCTCAATTTTCAGTCAAATCAAATTTAATTTAAACATTTGTTTTATAGTCAAAAAGCAAATAATTACCTATTTTAGTTTTACTAAAATTGGTATAGTTCAAACACGTTGTAGATCTAAGTGTCAGTTGGGGTAATCATAAATTAATAGTGTAAGTGCAAATTCAATTTTTTAAAACAATAATTTTCAAATTAACCTGTATAATTAAAATTAAAAATTGTCAATTATTTTATTTTAAAAATCGAGTCAGTTATTGACAATTCTGAAATCAATAATCATACGGCACGTATCATAAAACATTTTGCTAATATACATTTTTTTTACTCCCTTGTTAAAATTAAAAAAATCACAATATAAATTATTTATTTTAGATTTTTATCATTCAATTATAATAAATTCCAAAGAGTATTAGTGTCCACTAAAAATATCCGTTGAAATAATATTCAGGTAAAAATATCAAAGAAAAATATCCCAAAAATATAGAATGAATGCCTTATGTAAAATAATTACTTTAGACATTATTATCATAAATGATATAATTTCCCTGGGCAGTTTTTTCTATTAGGGTTTTGATTCATATATATATATATATATATATATATACATATATATACAGAGTGTCACGTAAAGTTCTACCGAGCTTCAAATGAGACATTCAGGATGCTTTATGGGTACAATAAATGGTATTCATTTTTTTTTTAATTTTAAAATTATTTAAAATAGAACTCTCATCTCATGAAAAAATTGTCTTACGAAAAAAATAATGTCAAATTTGAAATCGGGAGAAAAAATCTTGTTGAATTGATATGTAACACGATTTTTTGGTATTTGGCCACATTTGCGTCCACCAAGTGGCCACTAAGTGGCCGGCATCTGATCGAAACCAACATACTATGGTAAGGGACACATCATTGTCAGTTAGATTTTTATTCTTAATTCAGAGTCGTTAGAATTATTTTATATTAAATTATGTGTCGCATGCCATATGTTGGTTTTAGTCAGATTCTGGCCACTGTGACCACTTGGCGGACGCAAATGTGGCCAGATACCAAAAAAAAAAAAAAAATATATATATATATATATTTAAAACCGCATTTCTGTAACTATATGTATAATAAAACATTTACGGGACTTCAGAGATTTAAGCTTTTTCGTACACTAATAATTATGGATATAATATTTTTACAAAGCATATTTTCGGACCTGGACTATAAGTTATATAGTAAATCAATAATATAAAAATTACTAATAACAATACTTATAGTTTTTTTTTGTTAGAAATCAAAATACGTATTATCAAACTTAATTGACAACCGAAAATGTAATACATTAATGTACTGAAATTGCATAACTAATGTGCCGTCTATTCGAAATTTAGCATTGCAATTTACAATAAAAAATTTGTTTTCTAAGTCTCTATTACCACGCTGTATTTTTACAGTATTAAAGAAATACAATATTTTATAAATACATATTTTATTATTGGTCAATTACAACTACTCGGGTTATATGTAAAGTTACATTCTGACTGGTCGATAACGTGTTACGAAAAATTATATTTTTAAATTAAATGTTATGTTTAAAATTAAAGACGAAAGGAAGGGTAAAGTGTAGTATTATGTTTACCTGCACTCTACAGCACTCACATTCTAAAGTTTAAACTTTGATAACATACAAAAATATTATATAAAATGTATCATCGATCAGCAAAAATATTGTAAAAATTATACATCTATAACAGGATGTAGATTGTATTTTTCAATTGTACATCTCATACGAAGAAAATAATTCAACTACAAATGTTTTAACATTTTTTTACTATTTTAAAATAAGAGAAAATTATATGTGGTTGGTTAAGCATAACAACTAAGACTAATGTATGCAATAACAACAATTTTATTACCTATTGATAACTACCACCCACCGTTAAATATTAGTTATAATTTTGATCCTAAACTTAAGGCTATGAATTTAACTGTATGTAAATATAATTTCAAACGCGCTGACTTTCCAGCTCTTTGTTCTCATTTGGCAATGGTGAATTGGCTTTACATTTTTAATGGTAAGGACGTAAATACAGCCACAACTATTTTTAATGACACTGTCTTAAGTGCCATGGATTTGTTCATTCCCAAATTTACTTCCTATCAAGGAGTAAATGCTTTCCCCCCTTGGTTCACTTCTGAATTAAGAAATATGATTCGCTATAAGAAAAAGTTACATTAACACTTTAAACAATCAGGTAATCCTTTAATCCTAGATCAATTTGTAAATGTCCGTCGTAGGTGCAAAATACTCTCCAAGCAATGTTATGATAATTATTTACTAAAAATCCAAAATAATCTAATTACCAATCCTCGTTCCTTCTGGAAATTTGTTAATAATAGGAAAAATCTAAATGTGTTGCCTGACACAGTGCGTTATGGAAACACTATTGCTGATAACACCCAAGATGCTTCTATCTTATTTGCCAATTACTTTTCTACGGTTTACTCAAACGATACAATGCCTGTCACTAGTGTTGACTTACGTAATTTACCAAACCAAGATTTACTAGACATATCTAATTTCGATATATCTTTAACTGAAGTTTTTGAGGGCATTATGTCTTTAAAAAATGACTTTGTCCCTGGCCCTGATAAGATTCCAACAATAGTTTTAAAAAATTGCGTTTATGTGTTAACAATACCAGTACACTACATATTTAATTTATCACTGAAGTCTGGTATTTTTCATTCATGTTGTAAAGTTAGCTACCTTACACCCATTTTTAAATCGGGCGACAAGGCCAATATTGTTAATTACAGGCCCATTTCTAAATTGAGTGCATTACCTAAACTTTTTGAAAAAATATTATACTCTAAGCTTTCTGTTAGGGTTAATCATATTATTTCTAGTCAGCAACATGGGTTTATGCCTGGTAAATCTACCTTAACTAATTTACTAGAATATTATTCTGATTTAAGTTCAATTGTTGAGAAAGGTGGCTAAGTTGACAGTATATACACTGATTTGAGTGATTAATAACTAAATTGAGTGTTTTAGGTATCAGGGACCCTTATTTATCCTGGTTAAAATCATATTTAACAGATCGAACTCAGCAAGTAAAATTAGCTTCAAAGGTATCCCACGTAATTAATGTTAGCTCAGGCGTACCTCAAGGGGGTCATTTATCACCCATTTTATTCTTATTGTTTGTTAATGAAATCCCGAATATTTTTAATCATTGTAAATGTCTAATGTTTGCGGATGACCTAAAAATGTACATGGAAATTACATCTGAGGCTGACTGTTCTAAACTCCAAGACGACTTAAATAAATTTGAAAACTGGTGTTTGAACAATGGTCTTTCAATGCAAAAAAATGTATGAAAATATCATTTTCCCGTTGCCGTAACCCTACTTCAGCCCAATACTTAATTAATAATCGAGTTTTACAAAATGTTAAACAGCTGAAAGACCTTGGTGTTTATTTTTCCTATGATTTATCATTTCATCAGCATATCCAAAATATAAAACTAAAAGCATTAAAAACATTAGGTTTCATTAGGAGAAATTGTTATAATTTTTCAAATTTAATGTGCATTAGAACCCTGTATATTTGTTTAGTTCGTATAATTTTAGAATATGCCTCCATATTGTGGAATCCAGTCCAAAGCGGACTTACTAATGACTTAGAACGTGTCCAAGACTGTTTTTTGCGAACAGTAAGCTTTAAATTTAATATGTAAACTGAACATAGAAATTCATCAATAAATCTGCATTTATTAAATCTCGATATGCTCGCATATAGACGTAAGTTAAATGATTTAATTTTTATACACAAGTTGCTTAATAATGTTATCGATAGTCCTGAACTCCTAAGTAAATTGTTATTCCATATTCCTTCCTACAACTCTCGCCTACCGTCCAACTTTTCATGTTAGTTTCCACCGCCAAAATTATAGTTTTTTCACTCCTATTAACCGCATTTGTATTACCTTTAATAACTTACCTCCCTCTTTTGATGTCTTTCATGACTCCCTTCTTGAATTAAAATTGGGTCTTACCCACAACTGATTTAGGCTCATTTATACTTAATCGTCTAATTTTTGTCATATTTATGTATTTTGTTTGTTATCGTTGTTATAAATATGTTTTTCTTTATTGATACTGTTTATAATTTATAATTATTAATCTGTGATCTACTTACTTGAATGTTACACTCTTGCCTTCGGGGCGTTAAATATATATTATTATTATTATTATTTATATTGTATTATCTATCTGGTACTTTTTATATTATTTAAAATCCAAAATGTTTGAATATAATATATTTTATGGGAAACCTGTATAAAAAAAACTTTGCTTTCACTAAAAAAGAAGGGAGCTTTGTTTCTTTGCATTAGTGTTTGTTTATTATATTTTGTGATAATTAAAAAGCTCTGTAGCTTTTGGGATCAAATACAATTATTCAAAAACCCGAAATTGTTTAAATTCGTCGAAAATAAATCATGGGTAATTGTGAAGTTGTGGTCAGGGTTAAATGTATTTATTCACCTTTAATGGATATAAAATGTTGAAATATATTGTTTATTTTGTAAAAATCTATAGTTTCTAAAGCATTTTAAAAATTCGGGTAAAAAATAATTTTATAAAGAAAACAATATTAAAACCATGAGTGCCTCGGCTAAGTAAGTTAGACCGCAAAACATACAGCTATGTAAGCTATTTTGTCTATGCCTTAACCACAATTATTGTTATATGTTTACATGTAAACTCGTTTATTAATGAATAAATAATATTTTGTATTTATTACGATAGTATTTTTTCTTACATAAACAATGTTAATTAAGAAAACCGCAATCGCTTGTATTTTTTGTTCAAATAATAGTGAATATATCTTAAATCGTCTTGAGTATTAGTTTTAAAATTTAATATTTTAATTAATAGGTGGTGTTCACCTAATTTGATAGATAATAAATTATAATATATTATGAATGTTATAAAAAAGTAATACTATGGGATGGAGGACACACCTATTTTGTACACACAACCATTGACAACCTATACGAGAATGGAATTCTTGCCGTTTAGGGAGAGATGAAGAAAATATATATGTTATGAAAAACCACTGTGGTTACTTGGTAATTTCTGACCATGGAAACACATATACACTTACCAAACTATTACTTACCATACTTACTACCAAGGGCGCACGCGGATGAAAATTCAGGGGAGGAGGACTGCCTATGATTTTGTTATAGATTTTACAAATTTGAGTTATTGGACATACATTTTTTAACTTGCGGAGAAGCTAGGGAGGTAATTGGCCCCCCTGTCCTTGCCTGTGGTCACCCTTGCTTACTACACTAACTATTATACTTTACAGTAGAACACCCCTAATTAATTTTTGTAAGATTTTGAATTTAAGACAATTTCGTGCGTTTCTCGTGTGCCAGATGAATTCACCTACTTAGAATTGTTTAATTTCTATACTTGCCAGGAGCTTGATCAAGGAGCACACGACAAATGATTCGATGGACGTGGACAAACGCGAAACGGCGAACGACGGTGTCGGCAGAGGTGAAGGCAAAATAAATGGCGGCGGCAGCGGTTGGAAGGCTGGCGATTCGGTCTGCTACATAATGTCGAGTAAGCCTATGCGACGGTTCGGTTTTTCATACTGGTTTCATGTTGCTGTATTGTTATTATCCGGTAGGTACGTCGTTCCGATACGTCATCTGCGTGATCATCGTGTTGGTCTTGGTCCTGTACAAAACCGTTTATATGAATTATTTATACTTGAAAAACGGTGTAAAATCGTCCACGCCGATTACAGACGTGAATTCGTGGAACGCAATCTACACGACGCAAGGTGAGTGCGAACGGAATCGATTTACCGGATAAACGCCTCTTACTTTTTCACACACTGTATCTAAAGTGTATCCGCACTAAGAGAGACTCCACTCTCTTACTCCGTTCGTTTTTTAACAAATCAATAACGTTTATACATATTGTGTACTTGTTGGATTAACCGAGTTTCCACGAGTCTTAAGAATTCATTTATCTTTTTTACCTAAACTAAAGAAAAAAACTTTGGAAAACTGACAACATTTTTTTTTTAACGACCAAAAATTTGTGTTGAAATACTTTAAACTCACGAGGACATTACTATTCGTACATATAATTGAATTTTTAAAGGTGTTAAATATATTGATATTTCCACCGAGAAGTCAATTATACGGAAAGTTACTGACTATTAGTAGTTAATGAAATTTTGAATATATTGCATTATGGTGGCGTATTTACAGGAAGTGATTGGGGTGATATATTATACCCAGATTTTTCTCGCGAAAAATGTATTTAATTAATATTATTGTAATAGTAGAAATATTACTGTTAACCTAGAAGTTTTGGACGAAATGTCACAAAAAATGTAACATTTTATTATATTTTATTTGACAATTAATAAATGTAAAGCAATCTATACTTTAATAAACTTTATTAATTACCAATATGTTTTGATAAAAAGTAAACTAACTTTAAATGTATTTCATCACATTGCATTTGAAAACAACAAAATATATAGGTAATTAAACAGACGATTTCTAGCGTTGCGTATTAAACAAAGATTTTAGAGTATACATTTTTTAATTCGGCTATAAGGACAAGACTAGGGGTAACATATTTTTTTTTATATCACCATCTAGAAGAACATTGTAAATACGCCACTGTAATATACCTATATTATTATTTGCTTAATTTGTGTATTTACATTTACGGGATAAATCCAAAATTGGCAATATATATAGTACAGTATTGTTAAAATTAATAACATAGTATAACTACAACTAAACAATAACTATATTAATTGAATTTAAAGTTGAAAAAGTTTATTTACACAAAAATAAAAACAAGAAAAGAGAATAACGATTAACAAGAAGAGATGGCGTCGGTGTTTGCAGTATTCATTATACAGTAAAGTGGGGAGTTTAGGAAATAGTTTGTAGAGGAATGGGGGTTAAGGAACTGAAAGGAAGAGCGAATAGAACGTATAGGGATTTTATAGTTTATTTGAGAAAAGAGGGTGGGGGAAACAAATTTTCCGCAAAAACACATAAAAGGAATGAAAAATTAAGTGCATGCCTACGATCGACCAAGGAAGGAAGGTTAAAAAAATATTAGACAGGAGAGTAATCGTGAGGAGACCAAGCGGGATGCAAAGACGAAATACTGAATTTCGTAAAAAGTTCATCTAGACTCGTTCAAGCATAGCTCTGGCCCCAGATGAAGCAGGATCTCAGAGGACAAAACTATATTCCAGAATGGGACGTACGAGAGCACAGTATAAGGTTTTGAGAGGGGAAGCAAGGCGAATCTCGAGAGACGTACGGCTTAACAACCTGGGGAGTTTAATTGCCTTGCAGCATATTTCCTCGATGTGCTTTAGGGGGCAAAGTATTCAGATGAGAGAATGCCCAAACCTCGAACCTAGTCACCAGCGGATGCAAGAGGAATGTCATAAATAGAGTAGGAGAAGACAATATGAGAACGACGACGGGAAAAGGTTATAGAAGAACACTATTGGAGATGTTAATAGAAAAGTCCAAGGGATAATAAACGGGTTGTAAGTTTTTGAGTTATTTCCGTTATATTTCTAAGTACGTTTTATGTGGGCAACAACAGCGGCTATATTATAAAATTACTTGACAAAACAATACACCTGGGAATAAAAAAAAAAAGAAAATCTACTGTTTGATTTTTGCATTCTGATAATTTTCGACGAGCAACAGTTGTCCGGCGCACGATATTTAATTATTTCATTATACAAAGTCGTACGAAATGCGTTTGAATAAAACAATAATTATTAGTCATCGTGTATGATATTATTTGACTATAGTGTTGTACCTCAACTGTTATAATTAAAACATCATAATACATATAATAATATTGTACTCGGTGTGCGTTGTAAAAAAAAGAGTTCACGTCCACGACGACGCGGACCACCTCTGACACCGGACACAATAGTGTTAACGAATAAAAACATGATGGATGACTGCAGGAGATTTACAAATTGTATTTAATAACAGCTCTATTGGCCGTCGACAGTTGCTGTCGGTTTTAATGATACTATCGTTGTGATTGTACGGGAAAATATTATTATTTACACAGGCAACGGCGGGGATAGGCCGCCGATCGAAGTCGTCGAAATCCTGCCCAACTGTGGACTGCAGACCATTTGCTCGGACAACGCTTTTCCGGTGCACATATATACCGGCAAGAACATGACGGATTTCCCGAAGCTGTGCATTATGGGCAAATAGTAAGTGCTAAGTTCGTATCATAATAAAGATTATGCTATAAATACCGTAGGCGGCCGTATAACTACGGATGGTATGATAATGAAATTAGCCAAGATATATTTTACTTAGATATACTTATGGCTTTACATTTTTATTGGTTTTGTTAGACTATTCTGTATACAACCCCCTCAGTTTCAGTATACTTCAGTTATCGTTAATTCACCTGTCTACTTAGTAAATACGAATTAGGGCGGGGGAGAGGCAATGGTCCTACTCTTGAATTAAAGTTTTATCTCCATTGGGCATTGTTAACTCTTCTTCTTTATGTTATCAACCCTGAGGCTGCTTTTGCAGTCTTCCATACTCTTATCACTCTTTGCTGTAAATGTTTAGTCACTTCATTCCTGTATAGCTTGTTAGTCCAGCGGTGGAAATCATTTGTAATACCTTATTGGAAAATCTTAATTTATTTCGAACGATATAGATTTAGATCGGATAATCCTTTTTTTTTAAATTTTTAGCGTTGTGTCGTTTAATCGAACCGTCGGCGGTCGAGGCATCAACATAGCGCTCGTCGAACCGACAACTTACACCATTGTGGTGGTGAAGAACTTTGACACATACGAGTACAGCAGCTCCAACATGGACGAATGGTTGTCAACAACGATGAAGGACGGATATGTGGCAATCTTTTTCACGTTCGACGAGGCGTCTAAGAAGTTGACGAAAAGCACCAGAAATGTGTTGTACGAAATAGGTAAGTTAATAGTAATATGTGTGCTAAACATGTCCGGAGTATGTATATGTCATGTATGTGGGTCGAGGAAAGCAGAATAGTTTAGAGAAATTATTGACAAAATAGTGTCTATTTTATACCTTTTAGAAAAAAAACATTATAACTATTAACTATTATAATGGTTGTTATCTCTGTGGCTAGTATGTTTAGATTTCATCAGCAATTACACATATTATATGATACAATAGAATCCTTTGATCGATTTTTTACACATATGTATTTATCTTGATCTATAAAAAAAGAAATATTTTATTTTACAAATTAAGTTCAACCATTAGTTCTCATGTAGGGTTGCATTGAATGAAGACCTAGGGGGGTGGCACCAACGAATCCTTAGTTGATTTACTATTTTATGTCAGTATATTATTGCTTAAGTGTTATTAAAATGTATAGATTTGCTTGAAAATATAAAAAAAATACATGGTACGTCAAATTGTTTTTCAGATAAATATATATTGGAATTTATGTAAGTATTACAGTTTGCTAGGACAGTCTCTTTGCAAGTTCCAACAACATTACTTCTAGTGTTAAATGTCAACTTTATTTCTAATAAAGTGACTTAAATCCGGAATATCAAAATACACATTTGCATTTGATTTTTTTATTTATTGATTTAGATAACCATTACTTTTTAACACAATTAAATAATATTTTTTAAAAATTAAAAATTTGGATTTACAAATAACTATATATTTGAATTTCAAATTCTAAAAGTCCAGATTTTCCTAATTATTTAGTTTGACAAAAATGTACATAATAATTATTTAATGAATTATATCAAGTGATCACCTTCAAAACTATAGTTAATTATAACAAATTATAATGTTATTTTTATTATATATTAGTTATATTTATTTATAAATATTGGCCAAGTTAGTGAAATATGAAGACAATTATTTTTAAGGTAATACCATTTTTATTTACCCGTGCTTTGATTAATTTTTTTCCGTTGTCGTATTTTGCTTTCACCTAACTAAAGTACTAACAAGTATTTAAATACAACAAGGTAATACACTGTATTCTCATATAAAATAATATTGTATTTAGTGTCATCCGACTTTGTTGTGATCTCATACCTAGTTAGATTATTGATAAGAATTTGTATGTCGATTCATGATTGAAATTAATTTTGTTTATTTTACTGTACAAGACACTGGTAAAACATTGACATCTTTCTAGTCTTTTTGCCTGCATGTTGTGAGACAACGAACGCCACGAAAGAATTGAGAGCTGTTATCTATAAAAATAGTTGATTGGTTTTGAAATTGTGTACTGATAGGTATGCGATTTTAGGGAGCGGTAAAATTCAAGATTTGACGTACAGATGTCAGTGGTACATGGTCACTCAAAAAGGTATTCGAGGTATAACACCGTACGAAAAAATCACTTATTCGCACAGAAACATGTGGGCGGAACCGCTGGACGACAAGCTTTGTGTTCCGTTTCAAAGTGAATACCATTTAAATAACAATATTAACGAAATACGAGCTCATAGTTAATAATAATATTATGCTTGTCAAATCGATTTCGTCAGTTACAGGAAATGCAGTAGTAGTCGATGACCTGACCAATGACCGTGAATCGTTGTTTCAGTTGTGCAACATGACTTCGCGATGGGCGACTACTGACGACCAGAGTATTTACTGCAACGAATCGAGTAAGTACAATATTATGTACAAGTGTGTGTATATGCAGCAAGCAATCGTACATGTTTAACTTGAGTCAGCATTTATACAGCGCTTTTACACGCTGCATAAAGAAGATAGGTTACGCTGGCACCCGCATGTTGGAAAATTTACTTCAATACCGGTACCAAAATTTGTAATTTAAATTGTGTATTATATTTGCAATCAAATTCTAACAATTTGTAACCCCCCCCCCCTTGGCTGATTTAATCTATTATCCGCGAGGCGGCTGTAATAGTGATTATTTTGTTTTTATCATCAGTGCACAAGTTTAATTTATTTATTTCATTAATTAACTTCGTGTCTACCGTAGGTCCCGTGACTCACTCGGTTTTGGGGTAATCAACCTAAAGATAGATTTTACTATTTTTATATAATACACATCACTAGTAACTGATTGATAGTTTTTCACTTTTGACAATATTTGTTATGATATTTAAATAATTTGGAGAAGTGGCCGATGGACCACTCGGTCACGGGCGGTCCGTTTGCTGGGTGAGCGATTGACCTATGAAAGGAGCCATCATTCCATCGTCTAGTAACCATCTCATCATGGAAGCGTTGGATCTTCATGGAATGTTAAACTCGCATGATGATTTAAATAATTTATAAAAAGGTGTCCTTTGAGAATACTGAAATATGGAAAATCACAAATGCTAGACTATAACTCATGAAATGAAGTGAATATACATTTTATAACAAACTGAAACAAAAATGTAAATACATAGGTAAAACAAAGTATCTATAAAAAGACAGAACTTACTAAATAAAATTTCTGTTCAACTAATACAGTAAATAATAACAGAGCCGGTGAGAACGAAAGTGGCGTAACTCAAAAATAGAAAAAAATCCGCAATACCGCTATGGCATATTAGTATACTCTAAAAGAGTCATTTAGTCAGTGGAGTAAGTCAAGTTGAACCTTTGTCCTCGAGAGAGCACCACCTAAAATATCGCTAGTTACCGTGTTTGAGTGAAATACAAAACGCAAACCCTTCTATATCTTAAAACAACTTAAATGTGACTTACGCCACTTTCATTTTCACCGACTCAACTAATAATCGTACATACCATGCAATTTTAGTATTTTCTTGAGTTAGACCAGATTTTAATATTTATAACTCAAAGAAGAACAACATAAAACCTGGTGCGGTACGATATTATGATAATATACAGTTATTTGATTATTGACAAGGACCATTCAGACTTAAAAATATGCAAATGATATCTGACTGTGATGGCCGAATAATAATACTTGATACTCAATATTTACTAACCCTATATAATATAAATATAATATTTCCCCATATTGCTAGGAGTAATATAATTTCTGTCTCGGCTTCTTTAAGTTTTTTCTCGAGTAGCTTAATTTTTTCCGCTTGTTGTTTTATTTGGCATTCCTTGGTACATCTTGTTGCTTCGACATTGAACTCCGTCCATGGTTCGTTGTCGGTCCTGTATTGTCTCATCGGTGCCTAACCGGCAACAGAAGTCGGACTCTTGAATATAGTCCAATCGATTTTCGCCGCCACGGTTGGCACTGATGATATCACCAAACCTTATAACTTATAAGTAAAAAAATAGGCCTTTTTGATTTTTTTTAAATGGCAACATATGTTTTTAATTACATACAATTATAGACAAAAATTAAAAAATATGTTAGCGGTTGAAATTTTTATTTTTATTTATCCGTTTATTAGCTATGACTTTGTGAAGATACTACATTTCCTCTTGTTAATTATCATACTTCTTCGATTTTCCAAAACCGGTAGAACATAACATTCATATTTATGTCCGCATTGTCCAATGTGCGATAACATTCTTACAACTAGGAAGTCACTATAAAATATTATCTATTCGTTATTAGGTATCGATCTTAAGTACATTTTCTAACCTACGGATGCCAGCGTAACCTATATTCGAGTATGAGACGTTCACACTCAACCACAACCATAACTTTAAACCTAACCTCAGTTGGCGTTTAGACATATTTTGTAAATATAGCTTTAACTTAAAATATAGCCAAGCGTTTTTATTTTTGGTGTTTATAGAAATTTAGAGCTTAAACGGTCTCGGATTTTAAATAAAATTTTGCTAGATTAAAATTTAAAATTACTTCTTTGAACTGTTGTGTGTTTGCAGATGACGGTGGACTTGCAAACGGCGTCTATCCAAGTGTTTCCAATTACGATTACCCTACTGTTTGATAAGCGACATTGGTGGACGCAAGATAATATGTAATACCGTCAACGATAGCAACATCACTTTAGACAATTGATGTCTTCTCCTAACGGACTATGTTTACTAAAAATCCAACCCTCTAGTTGTGGCACATAACCAAATAAAAAAAAAACTAGCGTGAACTGTGTGGTTTAGGCTCAAGACACAAGAGGTCTGTGCGTTATAGGACAAAAATGGTAAAGAATCAATGAAATACTTAAATAAAGTACTCGCTGTAGAATTATCATGAGTACTATGGATGGAACAATACCCGGATTTCTGAAGTATCCGGATATACAAATCCAAATTTGACATTTAGCCAATTATTATCCGGACTTTCGTGTTATATTTTCTTTTTAAATACAAATTGCATATTAAGAATACTGTTACAAAACGTGTATCTTACGTGTATTACTTGGTAATTACGTTTATTTTAAACAGTAATTTTAGCTTCGACACATAAGCTGAGGTGGTATTGTTTTTATTTTTTTATGTTGACCCACGATATCTTGAAAATCGCTTAACCGACATATTTATGTGACAACTCTATAAATAAAAAATCGTACCCGAAAGGTACTTTATTGGACCATAAATGTAAAAAGTTCACATACTCCCCTTTAAAATCGAGGATAGCGCAGAAACAATTTACATATTTTTCAACTTAAATAAGTTAAAACTTAATTACATTTTACAGTTAGCAATATAACCTAATAAAACATTTTAATTTGCAAAAAAATTACTAACGCCGACATTGTAGAAAATCATTTTTTAATTAAAATCAATATGTAGTGATTTTTGTAATATATTGGATGATATCAAATTTCAATTTCATTTTTTTTTGTTGAAACAACCAACAATTTTTACATTTATTTTCATTTAGGTAATTCCGTATAATTAAAAACTTCTATATCCAAAATTACAATTGTCAAATTTGTACATAAAAAACACAAAACAAATATTTAATTTACTATAAAATAATATAATATTGTTTTGTTCGTTCATGCAAATTTATTTATTACATACATTATCCAATATTGTCGATCGTTTTGAGAAAAATCACTTTTGTTCACCAATCCATAACAAGAAAGGAATGATTCCATTAATCCGTTCTGACTATATATGCTGTATAGGTGTATTACGATGATCTGGCAGTTTTACATATTATATATATATATCTGTACCTATGTATTTTCGTCGTCTTACGATTAACGACCAAACGGGAACGTCGCCTTCGTTTCGACCCTCTCGCGTTTTTATTATCATTATACAACTATACAAGTGTCCGGTATTGTTAGACTATGATATTACGGATTACCTATGTATAATAATATAATATACAGAGTAAGTCAGAAATGTAGATTTCCTGCGGGAACTCGTCCAGTCCGATTTCGCACGCACCGAATATAATGTATTTCACTATATCCAATATTATTCTGTATAATATCACAAAAACAGGATGTACACCGCGAATCCGGAGATAATCGGGGAAAAATGTGGCCGACGTACCCAGCAGTCTCAGTTGTATACAACACATTATGATTATTATGTTATATTAGATGATATCCACCGCGGCGGGCCACGACTGCCCGAAGCGACATTGTGCTCGACACTATAGAACCCCCTGCTACGGTCTTTTGCACCTTAAATTGCGGTCGCGAGTCTTTATTGCATTGCCAAGGATGTATAATATGCGTATTCCCATGTTAAAAAGCCTTAACCGCAGAGTCTTGGACATAGGAAGTAAAAAAAAATTTTTTTTAAAAATACATTTACATTTTTTTAAGTATAAAAAAACTCGCATAAACCTATCGTGTATTATTTGTTCGACCACCACGACCGTCAAAATGTGTCTCGAAACTGAATAAAAAATAATGCGTGCAGACACGGTAAAAAAAAATAAATAAAAAAATAGACAACAATGAAATAACACGTTTTGGCTACCTAAAAACGATACACTCAATAGGCGAAATAAAAATTTACTAATATCCTGTAATGCACCCGCACATAATACACTTTGTATATTGTTATAATATTATTATTATAAGGAGATATTATATAAGAGGATGCGCCTTGGAATTGTAAAACAGCTCGATTCATGTACACTGTATGTTATTATACAACGTATAATAATAATATCATATTATGATATAACATTCAGTACAAATACGTATTGATATCCTGTAAAAACATTGTAATTATCCATTATAATAATGGATAATTATCATGTTTTATTAACATAAGATTGCATATATTCAATAATGGCATTATTAAATATGCAATCTTATGTTATTAAAATTGTTCTATAAGTATAAATATATTATATATTTAATTATTTTTGTCGGTCGGTTTAGTGTCATTTACTAAAATGTATAGTATACATGATATAATAACAATTGATGATATTATATAATATGTATATACTATATAGGCACTAATTATAATATGTATGTAAGTTCTTAAGCTCTTGTATACCCTATATTTTGTTGATTAAACGAGTTTCATTTAAACGCGGTGTGTTTTATTTTACGCACAGACGTTTTAAGAAAAATACTTGTATCACAAACGCAAGTGGGGTTGAAGATTTAAAAAACTTTGTTTAATATTGTACTTGATACAGTCTTAAGTTACTGGATTGAGTGTAAAATAAATGAGCAATCAATATGCAGAGTTGAGTAATATGTGACCGCAAGAACAGTTGGATAATGAACGGAAATTAGGATAATAGCGAGATTAAAACATTGTTTGCAAAACTATTTGTTGATGTTGTTATTACATTTTTGAATAATTATTTTGTAGTTAGTTTTAAGCAGTTATTACAAGTTATTAATTGTGTTGTGCGAGTTGTAGACCCTGGATAATACAAATTTAAAGTTGAATTACGGGTGTACGATTTTTCTATGACACTTCCAGTTTTAAATTATACATTTATGGGAGATTAGAATCGTACATTGTTTTTTTTTAAAAGGCGTTTACAGGATACAAGAAGCAATGCAGTAATGTAGCTGTACGCCAATAATTTCTGACGGTAAACCAGCGTTATCCGTTTGGCGCTTAAAAGGTTTTCTACGGCACAACAATACAGGCTACTCATACGGTTTAATGGACATTAATAAAAAAATAAAAATGTATTTCTATTATGCTATTATTATCTTGCTTGCTTTTTTTCACTAAAAAGGGTTCGTATAATATTACCTGAAAGAATTCAAATGCGACTCATTTGCCCATTTACTAGTTACACAAGAGAGTTATAAAAACATACAATGTACACTTTTTAACACCCCTATGGCCATAGGTACTGCATTGTACATACGTGGGACGTTACACCTCGACCAGGTCATAATAATTAGTTGGCGGGATTGTGTACATAATACCTACTCACTTTAACTCCTTAGTGTTCACTTTGTATGTGCGTAAAGTCTCAAGACCTTTTAGTTTGCCCTATATTCTCCCTGGGAATTACTTCCTTCTCAACAGAAACATCTTTGTTCGACTACTGATGAGCGTATACCTATAAAAAGCAACACTCAAATGTAATGTTTCATATTCTATATAATGTATTAATAATTACACAGAAAAAATACTAGCTGGATCCACTCTAATTAGTGACACGATACATTTATAGTTTGAATAACTTAATACATAGTTAGGCCAACTAAATGTTTAGTTATTTCAACTTTAAATTAATCATGTCCTTATTTTAACCATTTTTATAGTAGATCCAGCAGTATACAATTATTATTTCCGTGTATATACAGGGTTATTTTAGCTCTATTTTCTCTATTTTACACACCTTTTAGCTGTTTATATGTCCAAATCGCGTACCTAACCCATGACCTAAATTATGTGTTAAAACTGTCATAAATAATTTTTAACATGATAATTTGTGGGATGCATTAACAAAGCCATGAGTACACTCTAAATAATTATTGTCCTTTCTAAATGGCGGTTTTTTTTTTGGTGATTATTTATTTTATTGTTATAGTTTTTTATTAAAGAACATTTAGGTTAACCATTTTAACGCGTCGACGACAAATTCTTGGACAAACCCGAAGCATTTGCCTTTTGTATTTTTATCAATGCACGTTACCGACTGCAGTTGACGGCCGGCGGTCGCCCGCAAAGCGATCGTCGGTACGATTTATATATTATTATTAAGTATATCGCTATGTAATTACTATTACGGTTACCGTTTTAAATTCAATTTTTCCCCATAAGCATTCCGGGCGCTTTTAATGAACACCTTTCGGCGGTGGCGACCACACCCTCGCACCGCAGACCGTCAGGGGTCTATAATATTATCAGCTATCCAATGTTTGTATGTGTGTGTGACCCACCGCCGTCGTGCTCAACGCGGCTAATAACTTAATATAATAATAATATTATATATATATATATATATATATATATATACAACAATACAGAACCTATAATAACAACAAGCGTGTAGGTATACTCGTGTAACATAGATGTCGGTCTTAGTGTACAGCTCTTATAATATGTGTGGAAACAAACGGCGTCGGGTCCGCGGCGCTTCCCCTTTACACGTCGAAAAAGGGAAAAACGGATAATTTTTATCAAAAAAAAAATCCCATTCGAGGACATCGGATAGATTTGTTCAAATTTTTTTTATTTTAGGAAAAGGTGGGAAAATATATAATAATAATAATAATAACGGCTAATAGCGCATCAGACACCTGCGCGCGCGCGCCTGTAAAATATAATATTGGGTGGCGCTGAATGCGTGTGGTCCGGCCCGATGGCGGCGGCGGCGGCGACCGACACTCGGTTGTGTTGTATACATGTATAATAATAATGATAATAATAATAGTAATAATATGTGAGCAAGAGGATCCCGCCGCTGTTGGCCCTCGAGCGCGTAACTAACACCCACACTTTATTACCGGGTCTTCAGGAAAAATAAGAGAAAAATAAGTATACAATATAATAATAATGCCGCCGCACGCGTTTGTACATGTGTGCTGTATACTGCATATTATATATATATATATATATATATATATATATATTAAACATACATAATTTACCTACCTATATATACCATATAATATGTACGGCTCGTGTGATGTGTACCGTATGCTAGAGACTATGATGATGATGATGATGATGACGTTCTAGCCTAAACGTTATAATATGTTTGTGTATTAATCTATTGTGTATAATATACAACGATTTTCTATTATAGATATCATTATAAAATTATTATAATATGTGGGTGCACCGTGTGATCCGTTTAACGCCAATTTTTCGGAAAAATAATAACTACAATTTTATAGTTTTTTTCAAAAACTTTTTTTTTATAGTATTGAACAATACTATAAATTTAGTACTTGCCAGAACGCTATAGACTTTCGAAATTATTAGTATATTTTAAATTAAGAATAATTTGCGAAATTTTTGACTAGTCGGTAACCACTGTTTGAATAATATAAAAATATAACTTCAGTCTGCCCTTTTTTTTGTCCTAAAATTTTAACTTTGAAAATAATTATTTAAAGTTGGTTATCGACTAGTGGACATTTTCAGAAAATTATTGTTCTTATAAAAACATAATTAATGTGAGTATCTGTTCTTATTTATATTTGAAAAAAGGACGTCGTGGCGCTCTGAGAAATACTAAAAAAGGTAAATATTTTGTAATTTTATAATATTGTCCAATGAAATACTAGATACAAATGATGCCAAAAATAAAGACTACCTACAATATTGTAATTATTTTTCGAAAAATTAGTATTTCACGTTAAAGGGATCACCCAGTATACAAACGCATACACATTACAATGTGTATTTAATAATGTGTACGCGACTAATGACACTGTGAAATCTAG